AGGCTACTCCAACATTAAAGGAAAAACTTGAAAGGACGTGGTCACAAGAGGACAGTTCTTTTGAATATCTGGTTCTGTGCATAGTGGGTCCAGGCTTGCCTCAGGGTCTAGGTATTGACAAGACATTTTCTAAATACAGTTTGTTATTAGCAGTTGATAAGGCTAGAACTACATCAATCAAACTACGTGCATAACAAACATCATTGGGTTGGCCTAGGAGCAGCATGCACCTGGTATTTAACGTACATACAATTGCTGTTAAACTCTTTGGCTTTATAGTTACAGTCACCCACTTCTTCTGAACCAGGGAGAATGAAGACAATAATGGCTGGTACAGAACACATGAGGCAATACAGGAACATTTGCAAATGGCTTTGCATTGCTCACACATCTTCACTAGCTGAAGCTGTTTCCAAAACTTCGATAAAATGAGGAGCATGGTTGTACTAGATTCAGAAAGATTTTGTATCTTCTTGAAAGCAGGTTTTACTTTCCATCCACCAAGCCTCTTTCATTCTTACATTGCCTCTTTTTCTGTTACGCAGCAACCTGCATCTCAGCCTTTATTGCAATTGAGAACCACAAATTATAATGCTAGCGTCAGTGATGTTCACTGCTAGGAGTGCAAGATAATGATTTTCAAACCTGGTAACAGCTAGAGGCCAAACACCAGCATGGCCACAGCACCCAGATATCACTCCAGACACTATTAGGAGCTGCAGATACAGAGGGGGCACTCTTTGGCACACACAAGCTCTTTGAAGAAGAGAACTGTTCACATCATAATCCAGCCACTTGCCTTATTCTTCTTGTTTTCCAGCAATTGTGCTACATATTTTGCTTAAGGTCATTACCCTTACATGACAGAAGAAGAATCTTCTGCAATAAAAGCTTTTGCTTGGCATCCCTTTGATCTTCAGTACACTTTTACAGGACTGAAATGTACAATCTCCCATAAGAGTTGCTTCATTTAATCATCCAATTCCTTAATTTACTGTGTGGAATCTTTTTATTAGCCAATGTTAGATCTACTTCAGTATGGATTAGACATTGGCTATAAGTTAACTCTGGAGGAACATTATGGAGAATGACAATGTTTTTATAGTGTCATATGCAGTCTATTAATTTTTTAGTGGCTACACCACCCCATTCAGAGTTGTATTTACTCTGATTTTTAGAGCAAATACAATTACAAGTTAGGAATAGATTTTTTCCCAGGTTTGATTTTCTCTTTTCAAAGCAAGGTTAAATGACAGAAGAATTATATCAAAGCTTATAATAAGAAAATAAGATTGAAAGAGGTTGGAATTGCAAAGTTGTCAGAAACATTTTGAAGACTAGTTGTCCCAAATCTTCTCTACAAGAGTCTTCTTCCCAGTCTCCCATTTTCCAGCATAACTTTCTCCCCTTGGTTTCCTAAAATTCCCCCCAAGTCACAGATAGTATATATTTCACGTACATAAGTTACAAAAATTCTTTGAAAGCAGCCCTGTACATTACAGGCTTTTTTGGCTGAGCCATAGCAATGACTAAGCTATGGGAAAAGCCTCCATTCATCTATACTGTAAAGGAAAATGTGGGTGGGGGAACTGGGCTTTCAGGGTCTAAGTCATTCAGCACTTGGGTGACACTGTCGCAAAGAGGAAAAAGGAGGACTCAGCCTCGCAGGCCTGGGATGGGAGGTTTTTCACATTTCCACTCTGCAGCTGTCCCTCTGGGGCCAGGCAGGCGACGGTGCGAGAGAGAGTGTCATTATTTGACTCAGCATGTTCCTAAGCCACAAAAGAGAAGTGACGTATATAAAAAGCATGTTGCTCACTCTTATCTGATAAGAGGGATATCAAGGAGTTTTCTCCACTGCCTAGACATAAAGGAAGTTCTTCTTTGTCCTTATATTTCACTTTCTCTGTCAGTATGCCTTTCTTCAAGCAATTATTGTGACATTATAGCCTCTATCACAAAACTATACGGTTTAGAAACATAATATGCAACGACCCGCTACTGCATTGCCAAATACTTACTGTTTAGCTTTCCATTCAAATTACTCCACCAACTTTAAAACTGATTTCAGATATAATAGATTTAATTCAGGAATATCTCAGATAGAGCCATCTCCCCTCCCATGAATTTGGTGGTTTGCCTCCACCAAACCCATGAACTATCCTGTTGGACCAGCAAATGAGTAAAGTCTGCCATATTTCTGTGATGCTTCTGGTAGAAAATGACAATTTTCATTGTCATTACTTACTGCCCAAAAGGTCTCTGGTATTATTGTACAGCCATTCTTTCACACTGTAGGTTTCACTGTACAATACAGAATCCTAGAATCTTAGAATCATTTACGTTGGAAAAGACCCTTAAGGTCATCAAGTCCAACTGTTAACCTAGCACTGCCAAGTCCACCACTAAACCACATCCCTCAGCACCACATCTACACATCTTTTAAATACCACCAGGGATGGCGACTCAACCACTTCCCTGGGCAACCTGCTCCAATGCTTGACAACTCTTTTGGTGAATAAATTTTTCCTAATATCCAATCTAAATCTCCCCAGTACAATTTTAGGCCATTTCCTCTTGTCCTATTGCCTGTTACTTGAGAGAAGAGACCAACCGCCACCTCACTGCAACCTCCTTTCAGGTAGTTATAGAGAAGGATAAGGTCTCCCCTCAGCCTCCTTTTCACCAGGCTAAACAACCCCAGCTCCCTCAGCCCCTCCTCATAAGACTTGTGCTCCAGACCCCTCACACGCTTTCTTCACCCTTCTCTGGACACGCTCCAGCACCTCAATGTCTTTCTCATAGCAAGTGGCCCAAAACTGAACACAGTACTTGAGGTGTGGCCCCACCAGCGCCAAGAAGAAAGGGACAATCACTGCCCTTGATCCCCTTATCCAGATAGTTAATAAAGGTATTAAACAGAACTCCAGAAGCAGCACTGTTTTAAGACCTGGTCACTGCATGAGATCTGTAATTATTACAAGCTTACGAAAAAAAAACAGAAGATGAAAATTAAAATGCTTTTTTTGCTACACAGGTATAATTCTACTGTGGAGTTGCAGGTTTTGTTATGTGTGGCCATATAGCTCATAACCAGTGCCTGGAAAGGATTCCCAGAGATATAGCTATATCCTGAATGCTGTTATGCATACTCTTGTCTAGCAAATCCCTAGTTGACAATAGGTGAAGCATTTCTGGTTGATATGATAAAATATTAAAGCCAATATACAATGTAGCTTTATGATGACAGCAGCCAATGTCTTCTAACTTGCCCCTTCCAGCCCTACTTTTCTGAAAATACATGGAGAGTCATATTGTGCATTCACTGAAGTTCTTGAGTGGTCCTGAAGTTGCCTGGTCAATGCAAATCTGCAGTGGTATCTTTGCATGAATAACTGCAAACCACCAAATAAGGACACAGCTAGTAGGATCGTAGTCCACATCCAAGTGGGAAGCTTCCAACCTATCAACCAAACACAGATGCATAAAATAAAGGCTGACAGGGCTAGCACAATTACCTATAGTAGCTGAGCTCAAAGGAGCTCCTCAAAAGAATCCAAAGCTGAAACACTGACAAAAAAAAGAGTCAGCAGCAGACATTATCACCAGCCTGCTCCTTGCTTATCAACACTTCCAACAGCATAGTCAAGAACTGGATTGAGTATACAGTGCATCTTCATCCAAGTTACTAGTCAATAAGCTACAGAGAAGATGAAGGTTCAGCTATGGTTAACAGGAGCTAAGTATGCTCTTCATGTAAAGAATACTGCTGTCAGAAATAATCTCTCCATCTTCTGGAAAAAAAAAAGAAAAAAATCTGGAAAAAAATCCCTTCACTAATGCACATCTTCAAAACATTAAATAAATTTCCTCAAAAGCAGCTTATATACTTAATTACAACAGGCATCAATTTTGAAGGAAATTATGAGTCTGCCTTCTTAATTCAGATCATTCTGCTGGTTTTATTTTGGCCTTACATTTTTTAAAGTATGCACTTTTGTTTGGATTTCACACAAAACAAATGCACTTCTCCATTCTCAAGAGAATTCTCAAGTCTCAGTGTCACATCTCCTTTGAAGGGGTTGCATTAAATTGCAACACTATCCTCGAGCCTAGCTGCTGCAGAATTTAATTGAATGTGTTTAGCTGCCACAAGCACTGTACCACCACTGCAAAATTGGGACTCCCCAGAATTTAGTCCCTGATCTTCCAGTATCGCTCCCATCTGGGGAATGGGCATGGTATGAGGATCCAACTCTCCCAGGGCAAATGCATCTCCCTGCAACTTTTACACACAGTGGACATACTCTTTACGATGCTGTTAAAATATCTGGTACTGGTTCCAAGTAAATATAATCAAACTTCATCTGGCTTAAATACCAAGATGAGCTTTTACTCACAGCTGTTGCAGAAACTAAGCTAAGAATGTAAAAGTGTCAGTTCACAGACATTAGTGGGAACTGGCTAACAAACATCCCTGGGAGCCATAAGGTAAGTAGCATAAATACACTTAAGTTCTGAAAAGAAGTCCTGTCATATTTCTCCAGTATGGTACAGAAGAACTTCAGATGGATTGGAGAGATTCGTTGCTGTAAGAAACAGGAAAAACAAAATTGCAGAATCTTTGTTTACCTAGGTCTGTGGTTTCTAAGTACCTACTTTTTACTACGTTCATTTCTTGACTCAAAGTGAAAATGGGAATTCACCCTTTTCTCTTTTTTTCCTGTCCAATGTGCAGATGGGGCATATTTTCGTTCACTCCATCAATCCCTGCCCCCTACGCACAAACTTGCATACATGCACCTAGCCAGTGGAAAAGAAAAAAGGGTTACTCATTAATCCATTCTACAAAGCTTTCCAAACTGAAATGGGTGGGTTTTACAACTCCAGCAAGGAGCAATATATAGGTAGGTACGTAGCATACCTGAGCACAGCTCAAACTCAAGCGCTCATCTTGAATAGCACAACTTTGCTCCTGGCACATTTTACAACTCATTAACATGGAGAGGATGATTATTTTCTGTATGCTTTTCCTCTGTTCCAGTACGGTGCTGACTGCATCTCCATACAGAATAGTGAAATACAAACAGCTTGTGAAGACAATTAGACAGTTAGAACCCACAGTTAAAGACAAGGTAAGCAAACTATTTGTCATAATACTAAATTATTTTCCAGCATTATGTATTGCTTAGAATGTGTCTTGTGAGAGATATCACTTTCAAATGTTAAACTTTTCTAAACTGGACTTGTTTTATTGTAGGATGTTGAACTGCTGCATACACCAGAAAACCCCATGGTAAGACTGCTTTAACATTTCTTTCTAAATATATTAATTTGATATTGTACTGGTTTATTCCATTGACAAATGACACATGCCTTCTTCACATCTCTGATATAGTATTCTTAATGCAAGCTAGACTGAAAAAGAAAATACTTTAAGTTCCTTATTTCTGGACTTTTAATGGCAGAAGTGTTTATATGATGTCATCTTAATTACTATTTTGCTAGAGTGTGTATTCTAACACACCCACAGATTCAGATTTGTATGCATTCCCTTTAGTCAAGAAATGGTGCTAGGAGTGAGGCATCACATGAGATCCAGAGGAGCAGCAGTGCTCCTGGGGAAGCTGGGTTTGGGAGTGCAAGCGGCCCCGGCTGCCATGAGCTCCCGCTGCACTGGGACCCCCAGCTGAGCCAGACCCAAAGGGCCCCCCCGTGCCCTCCCACCAAAGCTACATGTGAAGAGCAGCACTGTACGGCCGCGTTACAAACCCTCCCTCCCATACGTGGTTAACACCGGTTTCTCTGAGACTATTCATGTGCAAGGGTTGTGCTACCAAGGGCAAGATGAAACCGCATTCTGCAAGTATTCTCTTTGGATTATAACTAGTTAAAATTACAAGAACAGGTCCCTGGGAATCCCTTTTAAATAGAGATATTTATTTATACGTTATTTAATGCTGCTATTTTGCATGTTCCAAGATCAGGAACTTCTTATATGTAGTGAGTTACACCAGAGTCACAGAAAGCCTGTGCATACTCAAAAGTGGCAGAATGCGGGCTTTACTGTGAAATTAAACGCTAATAATAGTAACAACATGTCTGAAAAGCTTAGAAGATAAACGCATTCTGCCTTCTTTTGATAATCCTCAACACGCAACAAAGGTGTAGAGCTAGCCGGGGCTAACCTAATGTTATCCTTCTCCTGTTATCAACTGTCTTAAGTTTACCTGTAATTTTGATTTTTGAGCCCTGGCAATTATTTCAGAAAGCAAACTTTCTATCAACTGATAAAAATGCTCATTATGCAAAGTTTCTTGAAAATCGTCCAGACCACAAAGCTATCTGCTCAGGACTGTAAACTCTCTCGCAAAACAACAAGAAGAAAGGAAAAAGACTCACCTCATTTCACAAGGGTTTTGTTAGCCTCCTCCTAGGCTTTACAGTTGGGTACGTTCTTTACTTGCCAAAAACATACAGGGGAATGACCAAAACAGATACGCATCTTCTCATTGCTAGAAACAACTGCAGTGCAAAAACCTAATGCACCCTAACTAATTGCTGGGGTTTTTTCATTAACGCGCTTTCTAACTTGTGGTGTCAAAGCGAAAAGGAGGAGATGATTAGCTGTCATTTTACTGCAGTGTTTGCCACTACCTCCGAAACAAAGCAAACACAACTAATGAGCAACAGCTTAATCACTTGTTTGGTTGTTGTTTTGTTTCTCTCAAAAAACATGGTCACCTCAGGAAGGAAGACAACAGTTCATTTGCAGCTTAGGGCTTTACAGTCTGATTCTGGGAGGTCCCAAGCATCTCTGCTGAAAACTAGAGGCTGCAGAGAATTCACATATTTAGAAGGTATTAAGTTGATATAGCCTCAATCTCTGATCAAAAACTTAAGAAAAAATACTGGTGTGCTAATAGTAATTTTCCCCATGTAATGTGGTTACATTAACAAACTTTTCATCCTATCCAGGGTGAAATTTATATTTATTGAATTGTCCAAATACAAAGATATGAATTAAGAGTGTGCCAAAGCTGCACTCAGGGCAATTAGGTGCAATCACACCCTAATGAGACTGGATTTAATGAAAAGTTTTTCATATAACTGTATTTCAAATATAAAATGATTGCTTCTATGATAACCTGCTTATGCCAGATTTACATTTGGCCTTGAATATTCAGAAAGACGACTACCTTTTATAACAATCAAAATTCAGTGGTTTATTGCTATTTGTTTTGACTTCTTTGAGGTTTCTGTGAGTGGACTGAGCATTAGCCCCAAGTAAATCCCACACAATTTCCTTGTACATTCAACAATGAAATATCTTTTTTTAAAAAACAAAGGAGGTGAGAAATTTAAAAGATCTCAGGACTCAAGGGAAGACGTGCTGAGGCTGAAAAAATAGTCTTAAGGCTGAACTGATTCAAGACTTGAGGGAATGTAAGATCTATTGCTGGTGATTGACACTGCAGTGGAAGCCAGGGACACAATGCTGATTTACATCAGATCAGCATCTAACCCCGCTGATTGCTAATTCAGGAAGTGAAGGCTTTTCAGGCTAATCTGTAACGTTGGTTTGAGTCAGATGCAGAGTACTGCTGCATATTGCCTCCAATACGAATATTTCACGTTTGCCTAGGCCCCCTCAGATATTACCAGTGGTCTGTGCTTTTTAATGCTTCTTCATCAAAGTGCTTAACCCATCACAATGTACCAAACCCCAGAATCCTTATGGTCCTCTGACTGTTGGCCTGCCTACAGCTAACTGTTAACTCAGCAAAAAAAAAAAAAAAAAAAAAAAAAAAAA